CAGAGAGAGATTTGTTAGCAGTGAGTACTGAAAGGATCCTGGCTTGATCCAGATTGGTTCTCCACTATCTTCAGCGCGAGCGGATTTGTCGCTTTCCTTAAAACTTTAAAAACAAAATGTTTTGCGCGGTCCTGCCGAAGATCGAAAGAAAGTTGAGTACTTGAGCATCGTAATTGGACTCTAATATGTTAACATGTTTAAATTATACAAGTGTTTTTGAGATAAAATATTTGTAATTAGTATGTATACTTGTGTATACTTTACATATAGTATTAAGTTAAAAATATTTTTAAAACACTTTTGAATTATGAACTAATAGAAATCTTTGAATAACTTTTGAGTTTAAGATTGTACAGAAGGAAAAATTTTATGGTACGTTTGAAATTAAAATCATCTCACTTATAAATCATCCATCTATATCTATCTTTGGTTTGTGTATGTTATTAATACCCTCATCCCCTACTATCTTCCCTTTAAGCCCAACTCACCCCAACCCAGATGTCCTTTCTTCCCTCACATTCTATAACTTTTCTACTCACAACAATTACAATTATGATCAACTTTTGCGTCAAAAGCGTACACTCTTTGCTCAATTTCGCTAACTCCAAGGACAACAACAATGGAACAGTAGTTGAAACCCCCCCTCGCCACCACTGCCAGAATCTTGCATCTCCGGTCACCGGCGGCCTCAGTTTCGTCGCTCTCACCGCCGACAACATCCACCGACCCACCAATGTCGTTGAGTCCTCCGCCGTCAAATCACCATCACCACCTTCCTCTCCCAGTGCTACCACCGCCGCTGCCGTGAAGATAGGGTTTCTTGATAAGGTGGGAGGAAGCGTGGACGGGCTGATGTTGTGTACCGAGAGTTTAGGGTTTGAAAGCTCCGATGAGTGGAGGGTTGATGACAAGATTGAGAATATTAGCGACGATGTGGTGAATTCGATGACGACGACGACGATTCGGCCAAAAAGGAATAGAATGGGATGGAGGAGTGAGGTGAAGAATTTTCCACCGCCATTATCGTCGATGAATCAGAACGGAAAGCCGATTTTCTATCTCCGGCCGGTGAGGAGAGACGGGAGGTTAGAGCTCATGGAGGTGAAGATTGAACGGCTTGAGGTTTTACGTGCCTCCCGCGAAGATGGACGGTTGAGATTACATCTCATTAGAGATGCAGATGTTGAAGAAGAAGAACAAGTAGAGGAAGAGGGAAAGATTGAAGAAGTTATTGAAGAAGAAGGACAAGTAGAGGAGGAGGAGGAGGAGGAGGAGATTGAAGAAGCTATTGAAGAAGAAGAAGAAGAAGAAGAAGAAGAAAAAGAAAAAGAAGAAGAGGTGAGTGGGAAGTGGGTATTTCCGGTGAAAAGTGGCGGCGGAGATGGTTTTCGAAGGTGTCATGAGCTGGTTCACCACCACCACCACCACCACCACCACCATAATCTGCATGGGTGGAGCCAGCACAGTGTGACGATATGATGAGATTAGTAAACCATCTCACTTATAAATTATGGAAAAAATTAGGGGTCATGAAAAAAAAATTTAAGGAAATGATCATGAAAAATTTATGACTTTTGAATTATTTTGATTAGTGTGTGATACTTTATTTTAAGTGTAATTCAAAGGTCATAAATCTTTCATGATCATTTTTATAAAAGTTTTTTCATGATACCTAACCTTACTCATAAATTATTAAATTTAAATAGTGAATTTAAAAAGTGAATTTTGTATATCATTTTCCATTTTTATATGGACTAGATTAAAAAATAAATAATATTATGTTTGTTTCCACATAAAATATTTTATATTCAAAATTATTTATGTAAATTAATTTTACATTAATTTTTTTTTTTTTTTTTCAGTATCTGATTGGCACTTTGATTTAAAAACTTTGGATTAAGCGTGGGTAGAACTCAATCAAGCGTCACCCCTTCACCTTTAAAAGGATCAATGTATTGAAAGGACCGAGTTGAAAGTTATTTTCTTAAAAAATAATTAGTGGAATATTTAGTTGTAATCATTTTGAAGAGTATGATAAAAAAAATATTTTTCTTAAAAATATTTTATTTATTTTTTATTCAACCAATTAATAAAATTATACGTAAAATATTTTTTAAAATAGATATATATATTAGGTCGAAACAAACACACCCTCAGATTAAATTGCAACTTGTGCCTTAGGGATTGTTTGAGATGATCTAAATAGTGTACTTTTTGACTTTTTATGAAATATAAATTGGGTATGGGTTGAGTTTAAATTGATATGGTAGAGAGGTGATCGGACTTAAATAATATGATGTGACTTAAATAAGATAGTGATTTTTTGACTTTTTAACTTTTTTAATTTATGCCAAACAAGACCTTAATTGCAATGGAATAGTTGGGTTGACTTGCTTGACTTAGCACATTGGATGCAGTGGACTTGCAAGTTGACTTGGTTAGAGTTTTTCAAAAATACTTTTCAGAAAATTTTACTTTTTTGTTCTTTACATTTTTTTTGTTTTTATTGAATTTTTTTTAATATTTTAAACAATTTTTTTTTAATTTTTAGAGATACCTAGCATAAATATACCTAAAAGGTAAAAAAAAATGTGAAAAAAACCTTTTAAAAATTCACTAAATATCAAAAATATAAAAAAAAATAAGAGAATTCAGTACATTTTTTATATTTTCATATATCTATTAATTTTTTAAAATATTTTTTCACAAATTTTTTACTTTTTAGATACATCTAAGTAAGGTGCATCTAAAAAAGTAAAAAAAAAAATGTTTAAATATTCACTAATAACAAAAAAAATACCAAAACTAAAAAACTCAATTTTCAAAAAATTTAATCCAAAAAATCCAAACCAAACATCCTGATTACTTTTGAAAAAAAATGTTTAGTTGGTCTTAACACGTTTGTCATTCTAATAATAGAAGAGTATGATCATTTTATTTCTATTGTTTGAAAAGGTGGTTGTGTTTTTTTTCTTAGAGGTGGAACCAACCAAAATTTTGACTCAACGGAAGTCATCATTTGGCTCTTCTTCTTCACAATTATTTACATATTTTTCCAAAAATAAAATGATTTCCTCTCGGGTCTTCTTAAGTCTTATTAAAAAGATATTTTAAAGTGCTAATTGATATTTAGATTTTATAATATAGTCTATATTAATTTTATAATTTTCTGTTAAATATTTTACCTTGGGATTAAAATGTATAGAATTCATGATACTTTTTTATCATATTTTATCTTGGGACTAAAATTTAAATTTATGTATATCTATTTGTTGGATTGGAGTACATTAAAGTCTAAATGTAAATCATTTTAGGGTCTTGGTTCATTAGTTCATTATGGACCAAGTAATATTTTTAAAAAAATTAAAATTTCAATACACATTTCATATATTCTCACACAGTTTTATATATTTATATATATTTTTTTGTTATAAATTTCAATATATTTTATACACGTACCAACATTAACCATAACCATATGTGCAGTGTTAACCTTTCTGATTATTTTATTGACTTGGAGTCATAAAAAAAATCATTTGATGGAAAACATCTCATTATAAAATGAGTTTCACCTTAAAGAAATTTTAAAAGTTGTAGGGAAGGTGTCAATTGCATAATTTTTACTGGACATATATATAATTATATTGTATATAGAAGTTTACACAGAAGTTGGGGTTGCCATAACCCCCTCTCATCTAGTGTAATTCTACTTCTAATTTCTCTACTATTAAACGGACAACAATGTTAAGCATACATTACTCAATTATAAATTATCAAAAAAAAAATATTATGATTCAGATTTATTTTTACATATAAAATTCATATTATATAAATTAAAAATAAATCACAAAACAAAATTTTACACATCTTTTTCTATATATAAATTGGGCACGTAGTGATTGACATTTCTTATTGTGACAGTGACTTCGTAGTCAAAGTCATTGCATCTTATCTAGTAATTATCACATAATTAATATATATAGGTACAACTGGAATTTTTTCGTGGATTTCTTATTTATTTGTGTTATTTATTAGCAATATAATATTATCCATTCACACGACCGTCTAGTACATATTCACTAACCACATAAATACTTCCAACAACAACATATTTTCTTTCCAGGTTCACTTTCAAGAATGGATAAAGTTTGGGAGGTCGAATGAGCTCCCCGAATCCCCCGAAAATGGAAACAGAGAGAGAGATGGAGAGAAGCCATTGCAGCAGGCTGGCCGATCGTTGGCCGATCGCCGATCGTCGCAGCAGCTCAGCCTCCGCCTCGCCTCCGCCCCTGGTTTATGCCCCTCCTGTCCAGTTCTCCTTTCTCCCTTCCCTTCTTCTTCTTCTTCTTCTTCTCCCTTCTATTCTTCTTCTTCTTCGTTTCTGATTCAAAAAAAAAAAAAAAGACAAAAACGATATCATTTTTGCCCTTAGAAAGATTCGAGAGAGCCATTTTCCAGCGACGTAAAATTACTCTTCAAGAATTTGTAGTTCTTGTTGAATTGTCCAAGTATCTTCTAGATGACTGACACAAGAAATGAATAAAAAGGAATTGTGTGCCTAGGGTCATTCTCCAACGCACATCGTTTTGGGTGTGTATTATAGGTAAATTATAAATATTATAATTAAAACACTTTTAAACATAACCAAAAACGAAGATAATAGGTTATAATTGAATGTCAAAGCCCAGAGACGACCCATTTTTGACAAGGCCGAAGACTTAGACAAACGTACAAGATAAACACAGTGATGTGCCCGCAGGCAAGGGGGGCAAAATCCAAAATGATACGCAGAAATATTTTGAAGATTGGACTTATACGCTACGCGAAGCCGGTTTTGAAAGTTGGACTTATACGCTATGCGAAGCCGGTTATCACTCATGATCATGCAAAGAGAGCTGTAATGAAGCAATTATGCAACATTTTAAGCGAATGCTAGGCATACCATCATAAATTTGAAACCTCGGCATACTGAATCTCTTTGGTGGTTCGAATTTGTCCAGTTCCACCGAGAAGGCTGTCTTCGGCTTTGCTGGGGAGTTTACCTCGGCGTCAACATTCTGCTGCCTCATTCTGAGGTAGTCCCTCAGGTCTTCTTTGCTCCTCCCTGGAGCTCGGCTGTCTATAGATTTTAGTCTTTTTGGTACACTGCTTTCGGCCTCGTGGTGGGCCCGTTTGGATCTCTCTCCATGGGTTGTGTCGAAGCAGAGTGCTTGCCTTTGAACATGCCGATGTTCTTTGGGCTCTGGATTCTTCATGTGGTGCGTCCTTCGGGACTCTTCTTGCCTCGGCTCTTCTCGTCCGACTTCCCTGGAAGGCCGGTAAGAATGCCTTCCGCTTCTGGTATGCTGAGGGACCTCGGGGATTGTTTTTCTTGAAAAAATGTATGTATTAACTATAATAGAGTGGTTTTGAAGGCGAATATAAATTTCAAAGTTTAATTCGCAGTTAGTAGATGAAATTGTGAGAATTGGGCAGTTTTAGCGAATTAGGTAGTATTTTGCACAGCCTTACCCTCTGCCATAGTTAATACGTATATACATAATATATATTTATTTATTTCCAATGTAATATAAAATTAAAAATAAATGTGAGTGATATTTGAGATGTAGAATTTGTTGCAAATTAGTGTTCTATGTATACAAAATATTATACAAAATAGTGTTATATATTATATGCATACGTTTGATAATTGTTTAAAATTATTCTTCAATTAACTAACAAGTACAACTACCTAAATTGCGATTTGATTACTGATAATAAATTTGTCAGCATCCACAATTTAGTTATAATTTTATCATCAAATTATACCACATGTGTGGGTAAAAATCTGACCACACTGCCCGCTTAGTAATCAACTGGAGAGCACTGGCAGAATAGATGGGTTCAGCTAACCTGTAACAGAAAGAAAAGGCTCCGGCGGTGGTTCTTCCACCCGGGGGCACTCCGACGATCAAGTCAGTATATCTCTCAAAGATAATCAAGTGCTAAACTTAATACTCAAAACATAAATTGCATACCTTAGACCCACGGGGGTGCCTCTTTTTTATAATATATTCAATCCAAGCCCTACTAGAAGTATGACTTCTATGAACTCCAATTCAGTGTTTACTTTGGACTCTTTAAGAGATAAAGATAAACTCCCTAAGAGCTTTATCCTTATCTTGGTTAAGTCCCCTCTTCGTCTTAGGACTCTTGTCCCTTATCCGCTTATCTCGGATTCCGATATCTTCGGAGATAACCTCGGCAACTCCGAGATCATCTCGGCTTAACTACCACGACACGTGGCACCTCGGCTAACACGTCGGCGTCACCATGCCACGTGTTGGTATTCAGAAAATATATCCCCACACATTTCATATATTCTCACACCGTTTTATATATTTATATATATTTTTTGCTATAAATTTCAATATATTTTATACACGTACTAACATTAACCATAACCATATGTGCAGTGTTAACCTTTCTGATTATTTTAT